ACGCGAGCAGTTACACCCAGGCCGGTATATAGTTCGACAAATCCGGAATGCAGCGACAGAAAACAAGGAAACAATCGGGGCACATCCTGAATACAGAAGCAGACTACGCGTGAGACCGCTATCTTGTTTACTCCGAAGAAGGCACAAGAGAACAAAGGTGCGCGGATCTCGGAGAACAATTACGTCGTGACGCACACCGTATAAGCGACGTGGGACGCCCACAAGAGTGGCCCCCCGCAAGTAGCTCATAAAAAGAGAGAAAAAAAATATGAAAGATTGCGAACGAGGAAAAAGAAATCGCACGACACCTGGCGTTTCACACGAACTTAAAACGACTCGGCAGTTGTCCGAAAGCCGAGAATCTGCAGGCTCGCTCGAATGAGCTAGGGCAAAAGCGGAAGACGGTCCTGTGCGCGCGTGCATTCGAGTCTGATGGCGATGCTTACAACAGTCTTTGTTTTCTTGTTCATTTGACGATGACAGTGCTCATTCTTCCAGCCAATCAGTTGTGTAAATGAGCGTCAGGACGACCAATCGTTATAAAAGCAACGTCCAAACTTTCTAAATAATCAGATGACTCAATTACTGGACTGAAATTGATATAAGATACTGTTGCTGTTGCAACATCCGGTGCATTGCCTTCGCCGGCGTTTGTTCGGCGGTATCCGACACCGACCAACTGGCCAGTGCCGGTTGTATCTGAGTAAACATATAATGGTTCAATTTGAACAGTAGTAAGACACCTTCCAATGCAGGATAGTTGGGTGGGGTAGTGGGAGAGCTGGTCCCGGGAATGTCTCTAAATGTTAGAATACTAGGCACGCGCACACGCACGCAAGCACACACGCACGCGTGTATTTTTTCCCTTCAGTCCTTGTAGGTCCGTACATTGAACAAAGTTTCCGTTTTATACGACACCGAGACACTAACGCAATAGCGCACACTATGGAGAGTCGGCCTTCTGGAGAGTAATTTCATTAGCACAATAATACACGCATATCAATCTCGTCCACGGTACATCTCTTGAGCACCCTCCCCGAGGTGCTCTGTTCGCAGGGGCGGGGGGGGGGGGGGCAAGCGAAAAGTGGTCAGTAATTACTGTGCCTGCGTAGAAACTGACTGCGTGCATTTAAAAGGTGTGCACTCCATTAAAATTTGCGTTTATTTTTTTTTGGGGGGGGGGGGGAGGAAGGGGACGAGGGGCGATTTGTCAGTGCAACGACCGTCAATAAACTTTGTCTTCGTTTCCTTCATCCTGTGTCTCTCAATTTCGAAACATGTGGGTAGGCTTGTACAGCGCGATAAAACGCAGCAACCTACCTCTTAGTAAAAACGTGTCGTCGCATTTAGGGTAGGCTCTCGCGGCAGAAATCAGAACTGCTACTGTACAGGCCCAAGCGCAGGAGCCCCAAACCGAGAGGGTGGAAGCCATTAGAGGATATCGACATACTCTTATAGGACAGGTTAGGGCATCTTGATTCCAAGGGTGGACTCCCTCCGAGTTCTAGGTATGACCATCCAGTCGAACGGCTCCAATAGCCTGACGTTTAAGAGTCTCGCCAGAGAGACTGACAATGCCATCAGTCTAATAAGAAGGGTTATCAACAGGCAACAAGCACTTGGAGAAGATAACCTCGTAAGGTTGGTGCACACCTTTGTAATGTGCCATTTCACCCACGTTGCAGCCATGCACAACTGGCAGAAATCGGAGCGTGATAAGCACAACACGTTAAGGAGAAAAGCCACCATTGTAGGCCAATGTGCTCAGATTTGGGTGCACGTTAAAGAACCCCAGGTGGCCGAAATTTCCGGAGCCCTCCACTACGGCGTCTCTCATAATCATATGGTGGTTTTGGGACGTTAAACCCCACATATCAATCGAAAAGCCACCCAGAGCATTCTCGGGCTTCTCATTTACACAAGATTGAACAGACTGTGCCGTCTCGGCATGCACAACAAGCTGGAAGAAATTGCAGAGGCACAGGAGAGGGCGCCATCAGCCAGGACGTTTACCACGCGTTCCGGTAGAAACATCTTGCGGGAGCTGGGGATTCCATCAATGGTGGTCAATTCTCGCTTCTGCGGCATGCCTCGTCAACAGCGAGAACAAATGACCATTGTCCGCATCCCACGAAACGTCCACCCGGAACATAAAGAAGGTGGAAGACGGGCCAGGTCAAAGGCACTACTACAAAGGGCCCAAAAACATGTCGGGGACTGCTCCTTCGTCGATGCGGCCCGATATCCCGAGGGGAAGGCGTATGCGGCAGTGAGCATCAACCACGAGGGCGGTATCACCAACTCGACTGTGGTCCGGACCACGGTGGCTGAAGCAGCAGAGCAAGAGGCGATTGCGTTGTCCTTGCTGCAGATAACAGGAGGTCCACAATTTACGGCGACTCGAGATCGGCGGTCCGAGCGTTTACCAAGGGAACAATATCGGAACCAGCTTTGCGAATTCTTCGGGACAAAGACGTGGAGCCATGCACACTTGTTTGGTTTCCAGCTCGTATGGTACGCATTGAGGGAGCCCCACCATATCTGAATGAGTCAGCCCACATAGCTGACAGAGGAGTAGTAAAGCGCGTAGCTAACAGGGGCGTGGCGCTGATATTTTGGAGAACCGTGACACTCACATCTCGTATAACCAACTCACAAAATATTTTTACCTGGCGCGGAGACAATACCCTCCTCCACACAATAAACTAAGCGGACCTCTGGCTCTGACACTCAGGCTTCTTCAGGTCGGGCGTATACCCTAACACCGCGCTGTCGAACAAACTTTGTCCCGAAATACAGCCATCTAATACATGTTCCTTCTGCGGCGATATAGCTAACTTAGAGCATATGCTCTGGCGATGCCCCGCGTTACACTGTGGGGAAGTAATCTCGCCATCCAAATGGGAGGTTGCTATTACAAGCTCCGGATTTAAACGACAGTTATGGGCAGTCCACTGGGCCCGCGACGCAGCAGAGAGACATGGTCTTCCTGTCCCTGCGTGGGAGCGTCGCGCAACGTGCTAAAGCACGTTCCAAAGGACCAAATAAAGCTCATCCATCCATCGCTCAAAAACTGGCCGCGAGAAAAAGAACACCCTGGCCCAGCCATCCTCGCACACAAAGACAAACAAAAAAAAAATAATAAACACCGCAAAACACGCACACGAAAAGAAAAAGAAAACATAGAAGTCACAAGAACTCCTTACAATGACAGAAAGCTGGCTTTTGAAAAAGCGCTCAAAATTTGGCGTCCTACGCGCGGGACAGAAACTGGTTTACATAAACGCAGTGCGCCTGGGTAAACCGGGCGAATCTACGCAACTTGTTTTCGCATTGCGGGCAGTCTGATGAGCCATACGCGTTAGGAGCTCCATGAAAAAGCGTCAGAGCAGGATAATATTCACTGGCCAAAAATAAACAAAGACTAAAACGTAATGGGCGTTAGCGTAGGAATAGTTGTCATACGTTCAGCGTGCTTGAATGTATTACGCGTACTTTTCTTTCTGTATTTGGGACGTATGCTTATTATATAACCCTTGCACAATGGTGCGGTAAGAAGCCTGTAAGGGGCTATAAATGAATAAATGAATGAATAAATTAATAAACAGAGTCAATGGAATATGTTAAGATGCCCTCCGGTATTTATTTAACCGACTGCATTTCGCGCTACCCTATGCCATAAGAATGCAGCCGGTGACACCGGTATGTATATATCTCTTTAAGGCATCGCACAAAGGGTAAACACCGCACAAATCAAGACACCGGGACATTGTTGGGTACCGATAGTGACCTGTAGATAAAGCATAGCCGCGGACCGATGGCAGTTCGGAAGTACTTGAGCGTTCCGTTTGTCTATCCACGTCGGTTCAGTACTTCATTGACGAGACGGAGCTCGTAGTGAGCCATCCCGAACTTGTTTCTTTCTTTTAGGGGCGAAGCTCCTTATGGCGTCACCCTATCGTCCCGTTATCGTTTGTAACCACCGGCGGCACATACCCGAGAGAGCGGTCCTTAGAATGACCGCTGGATGGCGGTACTTGAGTATGATGAATACATGATGAAAAGGTGTGAGATGGCGGTACTTGAAGCGTTCACTAGATAGGCGGACGGACAGACTGACGGACGCATGAACGGACGGACAGACAGAGATGCGGGCGCATGGACAGATGGACAGATGAGGGATAGCCACACGGACTGACGGACAGACGTACAGATTAACGAACGGACGGACGGAATAACGGATGGATGGACGGGCGCATGTATGGTAGCACGGACGGACGGAAGCACCGACGTCTCATGAATGGGCGGACACAAGGACGGACGCATGGACGGACGGAAGCAAGAACGAATGGACGTACGGATGCACGGACGGACTGACGAACGCTTCGCCCCACCAATCATCATTCACTCCGTAGATATGCTGTGACTTTTTATTCGTTTTGTTATTTTATGCTGTTCTCTAGCTGTGAGGCATTCGCAAATTTTTTAATGCGACAATATTTTACATTTATGGAACGTTTGTACATTGACGTTTACTAAAATGAGAGGGGCTAGTATACGAAATATTTATATTGTTCCTCATAATAATCTTTGTTACCAGTGTCTACTGCGACCACAGACGTTGTTGCATAGCGGGAGTACGGGGGAGTAAGCTTAAGAGAATTCGCCCCCCCCCCTTTCGCTCACATGGAGGGGTGAGTAACATGGGCGATGCTTCACCGCATGTTTTACAACGTATTATTACCGGCTGCTACCAGGCGTGGGTTATACAGCCAATGTCTGCTGGATTCCTCAAGCTTAGGTCTTCTGCATCTTTTTTGTTTGTTTGTTTGAAGCCGCTTTCTCTTTGAATAATTGAGAGCAAACGAGATTGAATAGGGGAGGCTGCACGTTGGCGCAGATGTGACTGCGTTGAAATGCGTCACCCGTCTGCGAACTGCCCTGTGTGGCATGGTTTAATTGGTGGCTTAGAGCATTCCTCGGAATTGACGTGGGCTCACCTGTTTTAAATGGAGCACGTACCACCGCGTCAATCAGTGCGTCACTCCTTTCCGCTTCATCCTGGGAAAAATAAATAATGACGTAAATGTTAGCCGCTACCTTGTGACGTCAGCTGACACCACCAATGGAACGAACGAGGGCCAGGTGCCACAATTACTTCTTCACAGTATCTAAGTACTTAAAAATCATAATTGTAAATCATGAAATCAACCTGAATAATACAGATCAATCATTCGATACTATTTCAAATTAATGACTAGAGATGGAACGCAGGCCATGTTAACATTATGAAAGCGAATGTAAAAGTTAGTCAAGGTTCGTCAAGTATTGAACCCTACAGGCAACGCCAGCGAGCTTCAAGAAAAACAAAAAGCAGACTTCACGAGCTCTGACCAGTATTAGCAGTCGTTTCCTCAATGTCTGGGCACACTAGCTAGACTATAGTCTATAGTTAACCGCCATTGAGCAGCATTTGGCCAGAACTGTAGTGACAGTATTCGCCAGTGCTGATTAGTACTGGTAGTATTCATGGTAACACGGTAGAAATACGGTCAGATATTGTTAAAGAATCAATGAATTATTCAATCAACCCTTGTCTGAATGTTGATTGAATAATAGGAATAATCAAGAAAAACAAAAAGCAGACTTCACGAGCTCTGACCAGTATTAGCAGTCGTTTCCTCGATGTCTGGGCACACTAGCTAGACTGTAGTATATAGTTAGCCGTCATTGAGCAGCATTTGGCCAGAACTATAGCGACAGTATTAGCCAATGCTGATTAGTACTAGTATGCATGGTAACACGGTAGAAATACGGTCAGATATTGTCAAAGAATCAATGAATTATTCAATCAACTCTTGTCTGAATGTTGATTGAATAATAGGGTTGTCGTAGAAGTAAAAGCCGTGTTAGGCTTGACGAGATTGGCGTCAATCCTTGAGAAAATAACCCATCACAAAATATGAGTGGAATGAGCACAGAAAGGCAATGTCTTTAGAAAAAGAATTAGCGCAAGCGGGAACTTGCACATGATGAAAACAAAGAAGGCGAAATCTGAGTGCTAATTGATTCTTTCGTCCAATCGCCAAGGGTCATGCAGTAACATTGAGTTCCACAATATCTTAGGCATAAGTTGAGAAAGCCGGTGACTTGGGGCTGCAATTTCTTCATTTTCTAAACTTCTAAGTGCATTTTTTTTTTGCGCTTCGAAGTTCGAAACAACCGGTTCTTCGAATGTCGACGCAATTGACGCCACAAAAATTGACAATTTACATTAAATTTGAATTTTACTTGGGCCCGTTTCAGGAGACCATTGCCTGACCTCTCGCTGTGTTTAGAACACTGATATATAACTTGATTTAGGACAGTATCTTCTTTGAAAACCACAGATTCATAGCTATCTTGATACAATAGGGTAGGCGTGGACCATTAACGTACTACCACTCACGTTTCGCTCAAAAAAAATTAAGAAAAAGCCATAATTAAACGCCCTTCACATGATATACATATACGCAGCAGTATCAGAGATGGGCTTCGAACGAGGCTTCAACAAGTACACAGCGTCGACAGAGCCACCCTTTACGTGCTATCATTATAAAATGACAACTCGATCGAAGAACTCGTTGTGGTCTTCGTATAACCACCCGCTAAATGAGGCAAGCGTTCTTTCTACCATTACCCAACTAGTGCCCTGTTGGCAACTACGCCCCGAAGAGAAGTTCCCTCGTTTACAGGTAAACGGGCGTTATCTGCGTGTAGATGAATAACCTTACTTTCTGAACGCTGTCTACAACGTATAGATGCGTGTAGCTACTCACGGAAATCGGATATGCTAATGTGGCACAATGTTATGACTATGGTCTCTCTATCTTTCTGTCCAGACTCTTCTTTTTCGAAACCTCGAGTAGATATCCTATATGCAGCGGTAGAAGTTGGCTTAAGTCCAGATTGGTACAGGAATGTCGGTCTTTGCTATGTCAAAATAACCAGTTGTGGCTTCTTCAAGGAGTCTCTCCAAAGGCACGCTTTCGGATGAAACAGCTAGGAACCAGCAAGGGTTGCAATGTGGCCTGGCGATCGTAGTTAATGGCCTGGTTTTTTAATATAAATATAAGCAGTGTCTTGTGATGCCCTTATGTGCCTTCGCGCGTCCGTGTTTTCTTCAAAAGAACCAGGAGTGCCAGCGTGAACGGCGCACTTGATTGAGACCTCCATGACCGGTAGGATTAGCTCGAAAATGCCAACAGGGATCCGTCACCGAGCTCTTCCCTTGTCCTACATTACACCCGTAGCGACTGCGTCACCGCCCAGCCGGCACGCCCGCAAGCGTACACTTACCTAACCAGTCCGGCTGCCTGAAGATTTACTTTCATATTTCGTATTAACGAGTGTTTGCCAATCCTCTCAACCACCGCCTTATAGCAACGCCGATTACTTCCTTGTTAACTAGTCAGGCGTAAACGAAGCGGCAGCCGTTGCCCGGATACTGTTGGTCGTTCAGCAAATCGGTAATTTCAGGGAGCACTTTGTCACGACTGTCACAGACGCGTACAACTATAGGTAAGACTCGCACTTAAACGTTACAGGTTAGAATAAATCATCCCAAGGGCACGCGGAGTTTGTCGGAGTTTGTCAGTACTTGCATTGATGCGCCGATTTGAGGTCCTCGACTGTCGCCCCCCCCCCCTCCACACGGTCCGCCATGGTGGTGGAGTGGTTAAAGTGCTCGACGGCTGTTCTGAAAGTCGCTGTTTCGGCCAGGGCAGCGGCGGTCGCTATTTTGATGGAGGCAAAATACAATAGGTGCGCGCGCTGTGCGATGCTAGTCCACGTTAAAGAACATGCGGAGTCCTTTGTTCCGACGTATCTCACAATCATACCGTGATTTTGGCACGTCAGAAATTAATAATATCGACTGTCGCCTCGCCAGCGAGGCAAGTACATTGTCCTTCACAGGCCGGGCAAAAAGTGCCCTTGACCGAGTAACCAGAAGGAAGGAAAGATGCCGTTTGGAGATGCCCCTCGTTTGTCCTTACCGTATACAGATCGTGCCAATCTTTTTACTTTGTTAATGCGTTTGGAAGGCGGTGTTCTGTAGTTCGCTTTGTTGTCGACAGATGATACCACTGTCGGTGAAGCCACACTTTGTACCACATTACTCGATCTTTGAGAGAGGGGGCAGTGGCCACTGGCTTTACATTTTGATAGAATTGAATAACTCCAATGTGAGCAGCTTTGTCCTGGGTAACTTCATGCCATCGTCAGCAAATTGCACTCGTGGGGGTCGCTACGATGACCGGACCAAACGGCGCACCAGGGAGATTTGATGAAGATTCCGTAAGTTTTACCCGTCATAAAACTCAGTACAGTGTGCAAACACGGACATGAGATAATAGAACCAGATTGTGTCCGCGTCTTGTGTCCGTGTTTTGCATGCCTTATACCGTCCTTCGTAATAAATTCCCACCTGATGCTCGGTCGTCATATGCCTCTATATTCAAAGCGAACACTCGTTTCGATATCTGTGCCACTTGGTCGAAAAACAAAAGTCAGTACGAACGGTGAGCTGGGCGTTCACCAAAGACCACAGAAGACAGCATGAGTAACCACCCGAAAGCTCTGCTAACCGCAGGACATAAAGGAGCGTGGCCTCTTTCGGGGACGCTCACTGCATTCTGAAAGTCCGTACACCAGGGGTCGCTTCAGCAACGCCCTCTCTGCGGGAGCACGCTCGCGCCAAATCAACACTCGAGCACGTCTACAGAATCCTGGATGCCCCGACCTATACAGCACCGACGACGCCTTTGCCGAACGCACGTCTTCATAACCGCAACGCTTCGCCTTGTCCAAGACACTGTGGGTGGTTTTATCGCCTTCCTTTTCGTAGCGTAATAAATATAACGACGATTCGAAGGTGAGACTCACATGACCGAAACGCCGGCTGTTTCCTCGAAGCGGGAAGAATAATGTCCAGCGAAAACAAGAAGGACCGTACAGAAACCTCGATTTCTCGCTTTTCCTCCATGCTCTCTGATCAGAATGATCCAAGAGTAGGTACGGCTCTTTTCCTCTACGTTTCCAGGCTTCGAATAATACTACGATTGGCGATCCCTGCTTGACGTCTATATAGCTCATTGGTTTTCGTATGGCCAGTTGCGTCCGGATCGGGACACACTGTATACACCGGCTGCGCCATCTGCTGGTCGTCGCTGAGGGGTATACGGACAAAAGGCGATTCGGCCATTTGCCGCCCGGCAACACTTCACTTTTGTTTCTCGGAACGAGCGTACAATCCATTTGGTCCCGATGGTCCGTTGAGGCGTGATTCTCGCGGGTGCGGCAAGTTGCTTGTACGGGCATGGTATCCATTGAAGATGCACTGCAGCGCTGGTGCGTGCGGAAAGACTGACTTAACGACTTCGGAGAGCTAGGTATAGCTATACAGGTGGAAGGATACGTCGAACTCTCCGACCGTGAGAAGGATAGGGGTAAAGCCGAGTTCCCAACGTAGACGGCGAGTGACATGGGGAAGTCAGAAAGAGTGGCTTAACGATGAACCGGGAGTCGGAAGTAGCGCTCCTGCTCTCGGAAAGGTGCAGTGCCAGCGTATGATCGTATGTGGCATCAGTACAACGAAACATGAGAAAAACGCTGTAGACAAAAGCGTAAGAAACGGGGATGTGAATAGCTGAGGTTCGCTTGTTCTGGTGACGCGACTCGTCAAGGACGTAACGGCAATAGAAGGCTAGCGCGTTCCCACAAGACTGCAGTGTAAAAAGTTAAAAGGTGTGATACATGTGTAAGACCTAGTGTGGTGTCCTAAGACTGTTGAATCGGAAGCTGATAAGGGCACTGAGGAATCGCATGTTCCAATAAGAAGTGTATACGAAGCCGCTAGGGATAATAATGTGCGTGTATTGACAGGCGGACTTTAGTATAACAAGAAGGTGATGACAAGTGTTTGAGACTAATATGTAACAATAAGTGAGGAGTTTGCTACAAATAGCACCAAACCGTGGCCTCTGAGATGGCGGGCACGCGGCGGGTTTACGCCGTGCGTC